CAGTCAACAACCGATACGGTGTAGGATTATTCCTATACTACACGTATGCTACACTCTTCTTTTTTTGATTTTCTTTTTGTTTCCTGAGCCCACGCCTTCGACCATCTCCGCTTGGTTCCGTCGACTTCAGTCAACTTTGGCGAAAGCTGGCCTGACCACCCATGCTCTTGTCAACGCACTCAGTCGATATATTGGTTTCGAATGCTTGGCACACGCTTGGTCTCGAACTTGGTCGTTACGGTCGCTTCTGGTCTTTTGGCTCAACGTGGTTTCTTCCTACGTCTGCAGCGTTTCTGGTGCGCACCTCTACGAACGCCCTCTTCAGATTCTGGATACAAACCACTCTGGTGTAGCATGCCAACTCAAGCAATAAATACAACACATCGCTCCTGGTACCGTTCTCCGAAAACGACCTTCGTTGGCAACTCGACGATCAACGATCGCTTTCCTGTTCGCCAATTCTTCCGTCCTACAATCGCTCGTCAGCCGATCAGTCCCACGATTCAAACCGCTATTTATCGAAAGTGTAAACCCTTTCTAGCGGGGGGCTCCTGTAGTGACTCACGTTTATCACGAGAACACGACTGGTTTAATAAAAACAATTATTATTATAACCAACTGTACCAGTGTTTGTTTTAACGTGCTTTTGTTTGACTGTGCTAATGATAGCTATTTTGTGCTTCCATTCTTTTACTTACACTTTGATTGTAACTTCGCGCGAATTCGATTACCTTCTGTAACCAAGGTTGTATCCTGGCACGATCTCGGTATCCTTTCGATGCCACAAGATCGCCAGCTGATAAACCTCGACTTGGTCCATTAACTGTCTTCTGATATTTGGCTTCTCGGGGATTTTATGGATCTATTTGGTTACGTCCAACCTTCGCCTTCTGATTCGCTTGGCACGTGTTTCTTGGTAGCGGTGTTCATAGTTAACCTCAACTCGACGCCACGCTACAATTGGTGACCCGTATTTTGGAACACGCCTCAACTTCTGATCAAATCTTCCAAAGAAGCCAATTCGGTGAGTCTATGATTTATCTATCCACGTCTGTCGTATATTTTCATATTTTTTAATATATAATATACACGACATGACGGATAACGATAAGAATAGTATTAATATAATAGACTCACACGTATGTGTACCGAACCCTTGTCACTTTTTATTCGCGTGATGATGAATTCCACGCTTTATTCGAGAAATGTTACCCTATTAACGATTCTCCTCGCTGACCCGGCTGCTTGGTACGGAATGCATACGCATAAGCATATCCGTCTACCACCCAGCACCAAATGGTTAAGTTGAACGGTTTCACTGCCAACTTAAAAGTGTTCTACGAGCACACGAAAACGGCAACTGGCACGAAACCTTACCGCTCGTTCTTTTAGGGGTGAGAACGAGCTTAAAGGCAGATATCCAATGTTCCGCCACTGAACTTGTATACGGCACGACATTGCATCTGCCCGGAGAATTCTTCACACCACGGAGCAGACCTAATTTCGGTAAATCAGACTACGTCCATCGACTGTCTGCATTTATGCGAACGCTGTCTCCGGTGTCAACTCGAATACAACATCGACAGGTCGCTCTCCCTCGAGAGTTATCTACCTGTTCACATGTTTTTGTACGAGTAGATTCGGTACGCAAACCTTGGCAACAACCTTACGAAGGCCCTTTTCGCGTGATCGCTCGTCACGAAAAGACCTTCAAGGTTGATCGATATGGACGCGTCGAGATCGTCAACATTGATCATCTCAAACCAGCACACGTCGATGACAGTGCCCTATCTGACACCCTGAGATTCAATGCTAGACCTATCAAACCTAGCGGGATCCTCAAACCATCTTCAGGTCCCACGCTAGATACACCTGAGACCTTATTCTCACGTCCCAGTCAACGGCACGCGTCATCTGCACCGTCTACGGACGAGACGACAGTCTCACGTCCAGATCAGCAGACCACGCCGCCCTTGACTTCGGATGAGATTGCAGGCTCACGAGATACGAACAAGACAGCAGTCTCACGTTCCGGTCGCCGAGTACGGTTACCCGTACGCTTTCGCGAATAGTCGCACAGTCAACAACCGATACGGTGTAGGATTATTCCTATACTACACGTATGCTACACTCTTCTTTTTTTGATTTTCTTTTTGTTTCCTGAGCCCACGCCTTCGACCATCTCCGCTTGGTTCCGTCCACTTCAGTCAACTTTGGCGAAAGCTGGCCTGACCACCCATGCTCTTGTCAACGCACTCAGTCGATATATTGGTTTCGAATGCTTGGCACACGCTTGGTCTCGAACTTGGTCGTTACGGTCGCTTCTGGTCTTTTGGCTCAACGTGGTTTCGTCCTACGTCTGCAGCGTTTCTGGTGCGCACCTCTACGAACGCCCTCTTCAGATTCTGGATACAAACCACTCTGGTGTAGCATGCCAACTCAAGCAATAAATACAACACATCGCTCCTGGTACCGTTCTCCGAAAACGACCTTCGTTGGCAACTCGACGATCAACGATCGCTTTCCTGTTCGCCAATTCTTCCGTCCTACAATCGCTCGTCAGCCGATCAGTCCCACGATTCAAACCGCTATTTATCGAAAGTGTAAACCCTTTCTAGCGGGGGGCTCCTGTAGTGACTCACGTTTATCACGAGAACACGACTGGTTTAATAAAAACAATTATTATTATAACCAACTGTACCAGTGTTTGTTTTAACGTGCTTTTGTTTGACTGTGCTAATGACAGCTATTTTGTGCTTCCATTCTTTTACTTACACTTTGATTGTAACTTCGCGCGAATTCGATTACCTTCTGTAACCAAGGTTGTATCCTGGCACGATCTCGGTATCCTTTCGATGCCACAAGATCGCCAGCTGATAAACCTCGACTTGGTCCATTAACTGTCTTCTGATATTTGGCTTCTCGGGGATTTTATGGATCTATTTGGTTACGTCCAACCTTCGCCTTCTGATTCGCTTGGCACGTGTTTCTTGGTAGCGGTGTTCATAGTTAACCTCAACTCGACGCCGCGCTACAAATTCTTCGGAAACTGTTACATCACCGAAATGTGAGTTCCATTCATCAACGACAGAAATCAAGAAACGATGAGATATGATCGAAGAGCCGCAACTATATATAGCTACGACTTTGAAGTGACAATTCGTTTTACAGCTTTGAATACAGATAATTTTTCTCCCGCTGCGTTTTGTACCTGTTCATAGTTAAGCTTACGCTATTTATTATGAAATTCGACACATTTTGTGTATTATTATGCTTAGATGTGCAATCTTTAAAAAACAACACAATATCCTTTGGATCTTTTATCATTGTTTCATCTGGCCTTACGGATGTACGCGAACTCGGACGTACACAAATAAATATTATCTTACACAGCCGCTTTACCTTAATTTAGCATAGGTCGATGGTTTCTATGTATCATGGCCTTCCTATCCGGTTTAACACCTCTGTTGCAAACACAGACATTTTTATATATATTTGCGGGAGAGTTACTATAGCGCATCTATTACAGATAAGTTTGTTCGCGTTTAATTTTGTCAAGCTCTTTAAATTCTTCCTAAGCTGGAAAATTATGCGCAGAATTGCCAGTATGTCATTTCAGTCGAATTCCCGCTTCGGTTTGGACACCCAGGTAGTATCCCAACCCTCACACAAATCGAATGACTTATGTGGAGCATATTTATTTGGTGCCTTCTTGTGCCAATGCTTATGTGTTTAAATAAAACAACCCAGTCGACTGCAGCGAACTTGAAGCTTATATTTAGTCGCTATTTGGAGCCGATAAAATGTCACTGATCCCCCCAACCATTTCCATACTGTACGGTGAATCACTGAACAGGTCGAGGCATGTGGAAGCGGCTTCACTGTGTACTTTTCTAATATTTTCCCGTATTAAATTAATTTGGTGATATCTTATTCATTCGGGCCAGTAGCTAAAGGAACTGTTCACATGCTATCGAAATAGGATAAGCTAGGTTGATTGTTAATCCCAATGACTGGTGTAAACTAGGTCACAGCATATGAGCTACACGTCCAGTCAACGGGCAACACAGTTATATACATTCCGTGTTCTTACAGTCAGTAGAAGACACAAATAAGCAACAGACCTCTTCCGTTCCTCAAGGTCGAAATCCGGACCGACGACAGTGACCAAGAAGCAGGAAGTTAGTGTCCGGGTGCGGTTTTAAATCAATATTAAGGCTTCCGAAAGTGGAGCGTCTAGTGACACAACACGTACTTAGAGGTTTACTGGCCTCGAGTTGCCGGGACCGTTACGTGACAACCGAGATCCAATCCAGTAGTTCAGTTACCGCCTAAAGTGTAAGTGACCAAACTCCCGAAGGCAAGACTGCGATGTTAAGTTACAGCTTTGAAAAGTAAGGGTTTGACGATAAGATTTCTAACTACACTTTCCATATGAAGAATATTTATTTAATTTCTGGTAATTTGATTGCTAAATACGTCAGATAAACGAGTTAGTTTATTCCCAGAATTGTTTTAAAACTCGCAGGAAATCTGATCCAGAGTCGCACAGCTACTTTGTCTCATGAAATTCAGTAGCTACACCATATGTATATAGGGGTATGTACACTGGTACTGTGGGGCTTGGTGTACAGTCATTTACTCTTCGGTCAAGTAGTTGTGAAGAACACAATTCGTTACGTCCTGAATAATTAAAATGTCGTTTGTTTAGTACATTTAAAGTAGAACTACTTTTCCTCGTAAAGCCTGCCTAACTTACGAAGAAACATTCATTGGAAAATTTATTGGTACTATCTATAAATGATGAAAGTCATATACTTGATTAGTTTGTGTTTAATTCAACAACTGTGACTATTTAAACAGCAAAGGGAAAATATTTCAATCGAACTGTAGTTCGATGTTCGGCTAATGACACCTTCAAATAGTGTCCCGTTACTGGTCCAAAAGTGAAGATAAAAGTAGTAAGTGTTTAAACCAGAGTTAATTAGAAATAAAACAAGGAAGAATCTGAGTGCATTAAAGTTTATTTAACTTAGAAGTCTGTACAAGAACTAAAACACACGAGAAGCATCAGAGAGCGACGATAGTCTGAATACACCTAGTAGGGAAAAGAAAAAAAAACAGTCACATTGGAACAAAACAAGAGAATAGAAATCTAGTACAAGTACCTAAATATTAGGTGTCTAACCTACATTTCAACTTACCACTCCATGCTGTTAAGCGAAATTGTTGAATACATTAATAACACACTAAAGGATAAGACTAAAAGTGCTATGCGTAATCACCTTCGAGAACTCGTCCCATGGACTGTGTTCATACTCTTCGGTCAGTAGAACCTTTAAAACAAATCAGCTTCCTCATTTAAATTCCAATCGCTGAGATTATTTCAAATATAATTTTCATATATAATGACAAATCAGCTTCCATTTACGGATCTTCAAGAAGAAAGATTCTAATACTATGTGGTTAACTGAGGAATGACAAATTCAAGCACAACCAACACTAGATAAGCTTGTCTTATTCACAATCTGTCCCTTGTCTTCATATATTCATCCTGAAGCAGCTCAGAACGATAACGTTCAGATAGCTGGGAACACGACAACTATATATTAATAACTTAAAAGAGATTACGAAAGACCAGCGGATTTTAGAAGCACCTACTAAAATGATGAATGTCGATATGATCTGTACATCGCTGGCAGCGAAGTCGACTCAAGCATAAATCGACGGAAATTTATGCAGTCATTAGGAAACGAAAGCAGAAGAGGTGATAAAAAAGAATCGGTGACAGGTAGTGTTAGACATGTTTACACATCAAAAAGACAGGCATTGACATGTCTATAGTGAGACTTAGAAAACGTTAAGAAGTGTCAAATGTAATTCATTCGCCATGTGCGGTTCAAATCACACTGCTAGTGTGGGGATATTACTCGGCTGTCCAAACCGAATTCGACGATAGTTTGAACTTGTAACTTACTGGTTGAAAAGTGAGTAGCTAGCAGAAGATGGTGTCATGATTTAATTTTAAAGCAGATGATTAAGGCGACGGGCAGGATGTTATGAGAGGCAGTTCAACTGCCCATAGTATAACAATATTGAAGGGAAATTAACTTAGTCCCTTGACCCCTATCAAGATTGGGAAAAAACATAACGAACTAGAGTCAGGGGCGAGGGAAGTAGTGTAAGAAATGAGGTTAACTACAGAAGATTCTGTGGATAGTAGTTTGATATAATTAAAATTTACTAATTTTTGAATACCGTCCAGGAGCTAGAAACAGTCTTGACCGCGGTCCTCCCAGTACACAAGAATAAAATCGATTTGTGACAATAAAAAAAGAATCTACTTTTACTAATATATTAGCCATCATAAGCAACCGACGTCCAAGTGTAGTTTAAGAAGAAAAAGCCCGTAAAGTCTGCAAGGTTTCGGACAAGAAGGTGGATGAAAACGTGATAACTCCACCTTATAACTTTTTAGAAAACAAACATACCGATTCTTAACTGTATTTGTGATTTCTAAAACTGAAATACGGACATTCCGTTTGGTGGTAGAGGTCGGATTCGTCTTGCTCACTGACAGACGGCCATCCTGCTTATGGATGTAACCAAACATTGCCCTACGTATCAGGAACTTAAGGTACTAAAACGCAGTAGCAGTGTTTTTCACCATAGGAGCTATGCAACGCACTCGAAACCTTAAATTTTCAGCTTCTCGTTTCGATGAAACGAAGTCCAGAATCTCAAGTATTGGTCCCATTGAGTTTGGTTGAGTCTACGATATCAACGCTAGATCAACCTTCACAAGTCACTACTCAAGCAATCATAATAAGATCGGTGACGTCTACAGCTATAGTACAAAAGTATATCAGGTGCCCTCATCTTTATCGACCAATCAATGTTCGTTTTTAAGAGGAAGATGTGAAGACGTTTTATATCATATGATCCCACATCACTTCGTGTGGCAGATACTATGCTTAAAAAAGTCCTAATATTTATGTTCTAATTAATCGAGTTAATGATTAATAAATTAACTTCCTCCAACAGTTATTTTATGCTACTAATCCTTACAACACCATAACACTTCATTATATAAAAAGCCAATTCCTCCAAAGTCTCGATCAACAAAGCATTTACTGAAGGAAGAAGAAACTATTATGGAGGACAACTGGAAAGGTATCAAAGAAGCTTTAACTTCAACGTGTCAGGATGTTCTGGGTCGCATGAAGCATCATCATAAAGAATGGAATTCTATAGAAACACTGGACAAGATCAAAGAAAGAAAGAACAAGAAGACAGCAATTAGCAACAGCCGAACACGAGCAGAGAATATTCAAGCACAAACTGAGTACATAGAAGTAAACAAGCAAGTGAAGAAGAGCATTAAAGCCGACAAGCAGAAATACGTGGAAGAACTAGCAACGATGGTGGAAAAAGCCGCAACAGAAGGAAATATGAAACAGCTTTACGATACAACGAAGAAAGTAGCGGGCAAATATAGTAATATAGAGAGACCAGTCAAAGACAAAAAACGCAGGCCAACCACTGATATTCAAGAACAGAGGAACTCTTGAATAGACCAGCTCCACTGAAACCACCGGACATCGAACCAGCACACAGACCTTCCTATAGATGTCACTCTACCAACGACCGGAGAAATCAGGATGGCCATCAGACAAATCAAGAACGGGAAAGCAGCAGGACCTGACAATATACCAGCTGAAGCACTGAAGTCAGACATCGAAGCAACTAAAAACATGCTTCGCCTTATATTCAAGAAGATTTGGCAGGAGAAACAAGTGCCGACGGACTGGAAAGAAGAACACCTCATTAAGATTCCAAAGAAAGGAGATCTGAGCAAATGTGAAAACTACAGAGGTATCGCATTACTGTCAGTACCAAGAAGTCTTTAACAGAGTGTTGCTGAACCGGATGAAAGATGCAGTAGACGCCCAACTTCGAGATCAACAGGCTAGATTCCGTAAGGATCGGTCGTGCACAGACCAAATTGCCACACTACGGATCATCGTCGAACAATCAGTTGAGTGGAACTCGTCACTGTACATCAACTTTATTGATTATGAAAAGGCGCTTGACAGTGTACATAGGAGAACATTATGGAAAATTCTTCGACACTATGGAGTGAGTACCTGAGAAGATTGTCAACATCATCCGGGACTCATACGACGGACTACAGTGCAAAGTAGTGCATGGAGGACAGCTGACAGATGCATTGTAAGTAAGGACCGGAGTCAGACAAGGCTGTCTACTCTTATCCTTCCTTTCTTCTGGTGGTCGACTGGATTATGAAGACCTCGACATCTGAGGGAAAACACGGAATACAATGGACAGATCAGAACCAATTAGACGATTTGGACTTCCACAGATTACCTAGCCCTCCTACCCCATACACACGACAACCAGTGTAGCAGCAGTCTCTGTATCAGTAGGCCTCAACATACACAAGGGAGAAAGCAACATCCTCAACTATAACACGGAGAATACCAACCCAGTCACAATTGATGGCGAAACTATGAAAGATGTAGAATCCTTCATATACCTGGGAAGCATCATCGATGAACAAGGAGGATCAGATGCAGACGTAAAGGCGAGGATTGGCAAAGCAAGGGTCGCATTCCTACAATTGAAGAACATATGGAACTCAAAACGACTGTCAACCAATATCATAGTCAGAATCTTCAATACGAACGTCAAGACAGTTCTACTGTACGGAGCTGAAACTTGGAGAACTACAACAACTACCATCAAGAAGGTACAAGTATTCATAAACAATTGTCTACGTAAGACAGTGTCCGCTGGCCTGGTGCCATTAGCAACAGCCTTTTATGGGAGAGAACAAATCAGCTTCCAGCTGAAGAGGAAATTAGGAAAAGACGATGGAAATGGATAGGACATACGTTACGCAAATCATCAAACTGCATCACGAGACAAGCCCTAACTTGGAATCCTGAAGGGAAGCGGAAAAGAGGAAGGCCAAAGAACATACTGTGTCGAGAATTGGAAGCAAACATGCAAAGGATGAATAACAACTGGAAGGAGCTGGAAAGGATCGCTCAGGACAGGGTTGGATGGCGAGTGCTGGTGGGCGACATGTGCTCCTCCACGAGGAGCAACAGGCGTAATAAAGTTGGCTATCATCAAGTACCTAGCCTGTCTTGAGTGCTGTTAGAGGTATGAGGGCGGTTATCACTTCCCGGTTGCCCACACCGTGGAAGGGTTCTTATGGAGGTACCTGAAAAGGAAATTCGATTAGAGGTGGTCTTAGTGACCTGAGAGCTTGACCACAGAGCCCAGGAGACAACTGCTTGAGGTCGGTCACACACGACCTTTTTATGGGTAATTTTTGTGTTAGCTCCGTACTTGTTGAGACCTTACCGCCGGAGACGGATATCCGTGGGATAAGGCGTGGTGTGCATTTTAAGGGTCGACCCTTTCTAGCCCCACCCCTCCTTGTGGGAAGGCGGCATCGCTGTCATGCTGGTTGTCTGAAGGAAACACCTTACTGCTGTCACGCCTCTGCACAGTCAGCAGTAAGACTTCGCCTTCGGACCTTGGGTTTGTTGCTTTTAGTCTTACCGCTCTTCAACCGACCTGTCTGACATGTGCCTGGTCCTACGTTGTAGCTGACTGACTGACTGACCTAGCCTGTCGTATGCCCTGATGGCGTTCTTATAACTTTCGGGTTGCCTGATCTGCCGAAGGCGATGGGACAGTGCATGGTGCTATTGTTGTGTGCTAGGTTCAAAGAGAATTGTATGCTATATGCATGCAAATCCTCCCCGTTATTGTTCCTATTTAGCCCCTGAATGCCCTGGTATGGCCGAGAGTGGGGAGAGTCCGCTTTCCCTCTCGAAATGCTCCCACATAGCCACGCATTTACAGCCTCTATCAGGGAAGTTCTACTCACTGCCTTCTCGTGGCGGGGGTTGTTCACGAAAATGAGAGGACGAAAAGCGAATGTCCGGCGCTTTAACCGGATTCCAAACCAATGGTGCACATGGGCTCTAGGATCCTGCGGGAACAAATGGCGTATGAACCAATCGTTGGTCACCGGCTACCATGGGACTGCATCTCCTTACGATGCTCCACTGCCTTGTGGGTCAGACCTTCAGGTCGAAGGCTCGGAGAATGCCCCCCTAAGAAAAGCACCTGCTTCGGTTTGGGCACCGGGGCAGTATCACAGCCCTCACACATATCGAATGACATTTGTGTAGCCCATATATATTTGGTGCTTCCTTGTTCCAATATCTATGTGTTAAAATAAATAATAAATCATCAAGTAGAACCCTAAGAGATTTCCACTCAGCGTCTTTCTCACGTCCAGTAAGACACAGACAAATACGCGCTTGCACTAGAGCATGATCTGAATCTCAGCATGTGCTCCAGAATGAGCGGCAGTCTTCTATCGAGCCCCTTCATCGGTGGCTGATAGCGATGTGATCCATTTGGGTCCAACATTGGGACGAATTAGGGGGTCGCCATGTTAAAAGATGTTTTTCCTTATGCTTAAAGTTAGTATTTGCAAGAAACAGGTGGTTATCTGAGAATAGCTGCAACAGACGGTTGCCATTTTCTGTTTTTTGAGCCACGACTGCATAAGATCCATCCAGATATCTTTCCCTTTCGCTTAGTTTACCTACTTGAGGATTAAAGTCACCAGTCACTATTACTACATCAAAGCGCCTAGCTTTTCGGAGAAGGTCGGAAAAATTTCTGTAAAACTCTTTTACATTATCTGAGCTGCAGTCAGTGGGAGAATAGGCAGAGACGACGAAGAGGCAACGACGAGTGAACCTATCGTTCCGAGTCCTTACTGTTCCGTTTGGTCGGACAGCGCACAAGTGATTGTCTACTGGGACCCAGTAGAAGACAGCTAGTTCTAGTTCTGCCCTAGGATTCAATGCTATACACACATTAGCGAGACCATGGGAAGCAGCATCGGGGATTCCAGACACACGAAGCGTGAATCGAGTTGGTTCTTTATTTTGACATGGTGAGGTTAAATGAATGACGCTACTCGAATCCTGTATGTGCGTTTCGGAGACGCAGCACACACCGATGGCACCAGATTCCAAAGTTCAAGCTAAGTAAGCCTGTTGTCCTATTTCGCACAGCGTTCGGACGTTAAAAGCTCCTAGGTGTAGTCTAGAGCGTAGTTTCAGGAGACCAGGAATAACGTCCCGCGTACTCGAATCGTTTGCCCTAGCGGTGCAAGGTGATAAAGGGACGTGAGAAAGGTTATTCGTGGAGGTAAAAGAGTTATTAGGAGGTGTAGGATTTGAATGTGACCAACTTGGTCGCTTGTGTTTTTACAGGTATGAGGGCTGATATCACCTCCCGGCTGCCCACACCGTGGAAGAGTATTTTTTGAGGAACCTGAAAAGGAAGTTGGATTAGTTTTGGTCTTAACGACCTGAAACCATGACCACAGAGTCTAACGGACAACTGCTTGACGTCGGTCGCGCACGACCTTTGTGTGAAAGGATTTTAACGTGTTAGCTCCGTTCTTCAAAAGGCCTTATCCCCAGAAACCGAAATCCGTGAAATAAGGTGAGATGTAACATTTCTGGGTCGATCTTTTCTAACCCCTTACTTCCTTGTGAGAAGGCAGAATCGCTGCGGATGCTGGTTGTCCGAGGGAAACATCTTATTGCTGTCACACTCATCTACAGTCAGCAGTACGACTTCGCCCTCAGACCTTGAGTTACTGCTTTTAGTCTTACCGTTCTCCAATCGACCTGCCTGGCATGGTAGAACATACAGGAACATGTGTTCTAGTCAATATAGCTCAGTTGGGTCATCACGATAGGCAATCCCGACCACCACGTCAAGGTAGAAGCTACGGTCGCACTAGCTAGCGAACACGAAAGAAAATAATTGAAGTAATCTCGTTTAACCTATTGAAGTTGGAGTTCCGAAATGGTAGCTTAGTGCAAGAATGTATTAATTAGCGACGTAACAGTATTTGACTCCATTGATAGACAGGCTTTGTGAATAAGTCTGTAATTGAAAGATCATCTTTGGAGTACATCAACCTACGTACACCTGTTTAATCAGAAATAGCTGACAAACTTAAAGACTGTAGTGAAGCATCATCTAAATTGGCTGTGATAAGTAGTCAGTGCTGCTCACTTTTCCCACTTTTATTCAATTTCCTTACAAAGAATTTCGGAGTTAACACTTCACAGGTTTGACGTTTTCGTGATTGATTCACTCATTTACTTATATACTATGCGTATGATATACCTGTTTGGAAGACTCAGACTTAAGAAATACACTGAGATTTTTACATAACTTTGAAGTCCCATTAAGCCTAGTAGGTTGGTAAATGTCATGATTTTAATGCGGATAGAAAAACCCTGTCCGGTTTCCGCCATAACCTGTGACGTAGGAGAAACTTGTTTGGCTATCAAAGGGGAGGAGAGCAGCAATCTAATAAGTTTTAATTTAACTGCGAAGCATTCTTTTTGAAGGTAGGAGACGCACTTTAATACTTTCTCGGATATGGCGAAATAACTCAGTAAATTATGTTGCGGTTAAACGTAAGGTTCTAAAATAAAATGCCGAACTGGTTGATGAAGCTGTACATTCTCATCCACTGAGCTGGCTGATACATGCATTACACAGAAAACGAATACTCGTTTGCATAATCATAGATGGCAAGAAAGCTACTAGTGGCCAAGCTAAAACGTTGCATCATTCTATGAAGTCAATGACAAAGGGCAGGTAAAGTAGCTGATTGAAATGAACGGAATAATTCCGATCAACTGTTACATAAAGTGACAGCTCAAAATCGACAGGAATGGTGGATTTGCTCTAAACTGTTCTTAAGGTCACTACAAATTAGTGGTAAGTGGTTGAAAAATTCAATACTGTAAAACACAATACCTCCCCCTCACTGATGATATATTAATCTGTTTGATATCAGAACGGTCAACGTGATCAGAATAATCAATGCTGTACTTTACTTGTGAAGGTGAATGAATTTAAAATTCGCTTTATTACATTTCACTTCAGGTTAGTCATTATTCTCAATCAACGTTGAAATGGGCAGTACTGAGATTGCATGCGACAGATAAGTACATGTGGAGACTGAAAAGGTACCTGGTACGAGTCGTAGTCTACCTACAATTTAATAAAAATGACAAATTTTCATAATCTTATCAAGCATATACCTTTTTCAACCCTACTGTTATTTGAATTGCAAAAGTCAGCGTAACACTAACATAATTAGTGTTTGTAAATGTTACAGAAAGCAAAGGGTTCATCTCGGCAAAGGACTGGATAAATAGAGAATGTATATATCTAAATATTTAGCATGTAAATAAAAAGCAAGTAAATCTAAATAATTGGCACTCCTACAATAAACCGTATTGTAGTTCTTATCAACAGGAACGTTTTTTTGTCGCACTTAGACATATCTGTTAGTTTCAAAAAGCAAGACGGTTTAAAGGCAAGAAAACTTCTAAAAGTTGAACAGAATGCAAATAACATGGATAAATAGTTTAAAAGCATAAGTAGTGTAGTGTAACACACGAACATAAAAGAAATACTTACATCAACCAGCTATTTGTGATGACGACTGCTTGTAGTGTACGTTCGTGACCCTCCACTTGAGACAACACGAGGGGATCGTGCTTGGTGTGAAGGAACTCGCCCCTCTATTTGCTGGTGTCGTTGTCTATTTCCAGTTGAATGAGCTACAGAAGCCTGTGGAGGCTTTCTCCATTGTGCTGGAAGTTCACGACCGAAGCTTGCAGGAGAGCGGCTGTGAGAACATGTATGGTCTCTCCTACGGGGAGATAAATATTGAGATGGTGGGCGGTGACGATAAGCATCAGGATCTATCTCTCCACGTCGAACCTTAGATAAAAGTATGCTTGGACAGGAAGGAGACCTGGATCTGGAGTAGGATGATGAACCCCTGCAATATTCACGACGACGGTTGTGGGGATGAGGTGGAGGTGGACTATATGAACAGCTACGGCTAGGACTGCGTGAGTAGTGGTGATCATGTCCTGAAACTTTTGGACGTGATCCAATACCACGTAAAAACGCATCTACTTTTTCTTCATACTGAAAAAATACAGAGAAGAGATGCACGCAAAATTACAATCCAACTGTTAACAACACGAAGAAAATAATACAATTTAAAGCATAATATATGAAGCAAGTAACTAGTAGAAAGCTTACTTTCAGATCATTTTCATGACTTTGGGGAATTTGTAAATAAGCACTTGAACCGGCAACTCGACTTCCCTACAAAATAAACGATTGAATTATTAGTCTGGTTACCAACAAATAATAATCGACGAATTTCGACGTTTAGAATATTTGGCAGACTCAAGTTTTTTAAATAGTTGAATTCATGAATCAATCTAAGCTACATCACCAATGAAAACGTGGAAGTATTGGACGGCCGTTTCGTCCTAGTATGGGACTCCTCAGAAGTGAACAACATTGGATTGTTTGAGATTTCTTCACGGCATGTAATAAGTTGATTCCTAACATCGAGTTTCCTAATAAAATATAATGGTCCCAACAAAATAATAATCGGGGCCTGGAAAATCGAACATAGTATTACTTCAGTGAATCGGAGAACCAAAAAACAAATTTATACCAGAGTATTAACCATCAAGTAAAAAACAATTGCGACAGATAATCCAAGTATTCTAGCATAATGACTTCAAATACAGAAAAAGGAGCTTGTATAAAATTACAAAGAGGAAAGGCAAAAAAGCTGGTCCGAATGCCAATTACTGTATACCACGAACACGCTCTATGACTGACCTGACAGTTCAGGATTTAAAATGTGACAAAAGACTTTTTGAAAAAAACCTGTCTATAATAAGTTATGCAAACCCATAGACATAAGAAACATGAAGTTCTACTCAAGGCAAAACTCACCAAGTCACCATACATATTTGGTCGCATACCACGACTAACTTGTTGGACATAGTCGTCATAGTCCTGCAGGGAAAAATTATGACGTATAACTTCGAAATTCACTCACATACCCAAGTCATCAATAAATTACGATCAATAGGGAGAGAACTGGATCGACTACGAGATCTATGCCCGCGAGGTCCTACACACGATAAAAATAGCAAAACAAGTAGATGTTAGATCATAAAATTAGTCATTGAGTAATTACTTACAAGTATATAAACGACCACAACTTGGGTCAATTTCACTGGTGTTTTTTAGGGTTAGTTGGAAAAAGCTCATTTTATGACAAGACTTTTTAAGCAAAGAGGATAAAACATATTTCTATGATATCAGTTGCAAGCATATACATGAAAGTTTTGTAGATATTTTTATTTTTAGTTAGGGATAAGCGATACTTTACATTTATATACAAATACAAATGATGTCTCACAGAGCACAAATTATAATATTCATTCGAATGAATATTGACAGCTATATGACAACAAATGTAAAATAACCATTAATTCAAAACCGGATTATATCTATTGCGGAAGTACATGTAAAAAAACTCCATTGCATGACTCAACGTAAACATTTTAGAGCTTGTTTGCAAAGTTGAACAGATAAGTGATTGAAAGTTGAGTTCAGTTGTGCAGAGGAAGTTAAAATATTGAAGGTTTTGGAGATAATAGCATAAACTAATGATTAGAACAGCTGTGACTAAAATCACGTTACGTACAAAATACACCTCCTTGAAGGCTGAAAAATTACACCAATAATTACAATAATTCTCCTTTCATGTCGTCAAGAGGTTCTGAGACCTAAAGCTTATTCAATATTTACTTACTATCGATGGAGTTTCGCTTCTTACATTAGAAGAGAAATTACTTAAGTAAGTACCATATACTCATACTTTCTCAGAACGCTTTATAGCCAAACCTAGCCTTTTAATACTCGATGCACAAACCAAGTGACCAAAAATATTAACGAAGAACCCAACTCCATGTTTGATAATGAAAAACAAAGTATTCAGATATTTTTGGTACCGGGAATAGTAAACGGTAACCGAATGTAGTCCACAGCTCCCTTCTTTACGGTTCTGGCAAGAGAACATATTCGATCACTACCGTTTTACTCTCAACCCAGTGAAGACGAATGCCTTATGTGAAATTTTAAAAGGACTGTGCACAAATCTAAAAGATGAAGGAATCACCAGAAAAATGTCAGTTTCTTAGTTATTAACTGTACAACAATGTTTTTCCGGATTGAGAACTCTGTATGGAGAATTGTTTTAAGGCACCTTAGTACACTAAAACGATTGCTAACCTAGAGTTGTAAAGTACTTCTCATGAATTATTGTGGGAAAAAACCTAAATAAAGTCGATTGAACTTCGCGAAAAATGAGGCTGTGTGAACTGGGAGTTTCAGGTTGGTTCTTCAGCTTGGTGTGGTATTCAAAGTAACCAAAAGCAACGTCTGACATAGTAAAATCTAACATGAAATATGATCCATTATTATTTCCATAAAAGTGTTACGAAAGTAAACCCTCAACGATTTAGACTGTATGCTCTGGGCGTAAATGATTCAAGCATTGAAACTGGTCTCTCTTCGACCAATCAGATTCAAAGGAAGATTTCAGATGCTAAAAATCTCCAAAAAAACGTTTGTACAGATACCTGTCTTTAGTTCTGTAAGTTTATTCTGACCAATGACTTTGGGATATACTTCATCCAGCTCATTATTGTTCCCTTACGTATCAAGTCGAATAAGGTTAATAGATTGAAGCGTATGGAGAAAGAGTACAACACATTCGAATGATATCACCGGTCTACAGTATGTAAACGATACATACGTTTGGTAAGGAAGTCGATAAAATTGGATCTACTAAATGAAATTGTTCCGGATGAGCTTCGATACATTCGGATATAAAATGTTGCTTCTGGACTGGTTGATACTCATTTTGACAACACAATGGTGTTTTTGAGCAAGTTGGTTACGTACTTTGGTAATCTTGCCAATTACCACGGGCTGCTGACGAAGTTTCTACCAATTTGTTACCAGGATCCGGTATTTTATGCTGAATATTAGTAATACTTTCCCTGTAGTGCTATGAACATACTTAGGTTCAAATGCTTGTAACCAAGTAGTCTATACTTTACGGTTACGACGAAACGGTCTGGATTGGTGAGTTTACATGCCTATCGATAGACAAACAAACTTGCTTGAGTTACAGGCGATGTACGTCGACAGTTTCCGATTAATTTATGATAATTTTAAAATCCTGATTCACCAAACTTGACAAGATTACGGAAACACGTAACCAACCTGCTCAAAAACGTCATCCTGTGTTGCCAAAATGAGTATCAGCAAGTCTAGAATCAACATTTTTCAAGCCGACATATAGAAACTCAACCTGAGCATTTTCAAACAAATAATTTAAAAGATCCATTTATATTATATATAATCTACATACCCAAAGTCATTGAGTCTCCAGCCAAGAGACTAATTCCTTGTCAGGCTATCTGATGCACTTAATTCCAATGACACTCACAAATTTAGATTAGAAAGCAGATTTTGGAGTTAATTACCGTACTTAACCGATGAATCTACAGATAATCCAAATTACTTTAACACCTCTTAACCCACGTCATCTGTTCCCCAAGGATCGAAAATTGTTAAAGACATTAATTATTCAGTAGGTACCTTGGTATGAGTCATACTCTAAGTGGGGGCTGGTGATATTACTTAGCCGGCCGAACCAAAGCAAGTGGAGCGAAGTTCATATCAGGGACTGTGACTGTTAAACTCCCTACCCACTAAGCAACCACTCCACACAACATGAAGCAGGTACATCCCTATATGCCTACTATACCAAGTAAATCTAATGAGTTTGTAGGTGTCATTACCAAGGTTTGATTTGATAATTTCGAATAAATTGAGCATTGGGTTGATTGTTATAAATAAAATAATATATTTGTAATATCCCAATGAGTAGAAAATTGGATTTTCTGACGTTTCGTGACTTAGTGTAAGTCCCTTCTTCAGAGAATAACAAGTAAATCTAAGGCGAATATGTGGTAAATAAGCTCATGGTCAAGTTTGAAAGCTGCTAGGTTTTCACGAATTCTTTAATAAGGTAGTTGAAGAATTTTAGGAGTGTTCGGTCAAATCGTTTATCTGCGTTATGTTGGTATATATAATTTCGGAAAACGGTTGAGTTCGGTCAAAACGAAAAACCTTATCAATCAATCAACCCAAAACCTGGTCTCATATAAAAATTGTGTAGCGGACGACTATCCGCAAAGTAAGCATGAGCTGTCGGTAGAGACCATACATGAAATAGATCAAAATGGTCGCAGTGAACTAAATACATTTGTCTTCCCCTACATTTTGAATTTAAGTATTAATTTAAGCTTTTCGTCACACAAGTTAATTTGTCAACTATTATTACTACAGTCCATATCCTATCACCAATGCCATAACCGCCTTTATTTTTTGCCCTTCGTGCCTTTTATAGTTATTCCTGAAATATATTCTAAGCTTGGCTATCATTAACTCCGCCTGAAGCTCTTCTAGAGTTACTGCTGTTCCCAAGCCCAGGTAAAAGAGAAGGGTTGGGGATGGGGTTAGCGACCCCATCCCCTAGAAAACTAACTCGCCAAGTAAAACGCTAACCAGAAAAATTAATTCAAACCATTTAAACTCTGCCCTGGGAGTTAGAAGGTCTTCATTTAGTAGAACTATAACGCCTCATGGTGTAAGCCGAGTTCCTTCGGAAGTCACGAGGCCGACGCCCTTTCTAACGACTAGAGCAACAATTTTTATAGGTACATGGAACCTCCGGACAATGTGGGAGACCGGAAAGAACAGCCAAATAGCAACGGAAATCAAGAGGTACAAAGTGGCAGTACTGGGAATCAGAGAAACCCATCGGACACAAGCTGGATAGCAAAGGACAGATATGGGAGAGATGCTGCTATACTCCGATCACCAAGAAGAAAAAATGCTCCACACACACTCGGGAAGTTGCTCTAATGCTGTCCAAACTATCACGAAAAGCACTTATACGATGACAATCTCACGGACCCAGAATCATCAAAGCATCACTCAAAACAAAGAAGGAGGGAATTACAGTGAATGTTATCCAGTGTTATGCACCCACCAATGATAGCAACGACGACAATAAAGATCAATTCTATGAGTGGCTGCAATCAACCAATCAATCAAAGTTGGAATAGACAGCACCGGGTATGAAAATATCATGGGACGACATGGACTGGGAGAGAGAAATGAAAATGGGGAAGATTTGCAAATCTATGTGCATTCGACAAATTAGTTATAGGTGGCACAATATCTCCACACAAACATACGCACAAAGCTACATGAACCTCACCGGACCATACTACAGAGAACCAGATAGATCATATATGGATCAAAAAAAATTCCGAAGGACAATGGAAGATGCGAGAACCAGGAGAGGAGCTGTCACGGCTTCAGATTATCACCTAGTTGTGGCCAATTTAAAACTGAAGATAAAGAAACACTGGACAAATGGAGAACAGCATTACAAAGGTTCAATACAGCCTTCCTTCGAAATACTAACAAACTCAACCAATTCAAAATAACTATCAACAACAGGTTCAAAACCTTACAGAACCTACTGAAGGAAGAAGAAACTATTATGGAGGACAACTGGAAAGGTATCAAAGAAGCTTTAACTTCAACGTGTCAGGATGTTCTGGGTCGCATGAAGCATCATCATAAAGAATGGAATTCTATAGAAACACTGGACAAGATCAAAGAAAGAAAGAACAAGAAGACAGCAATTAGCAACAGCCGAACACGAGCAGAGAATATTCAAGCACAAACTGAGTACATAGAAGTAAACAAGCAAGTGAAGAAGAGCATTAAAGCCGACAAGCAGAAATACGTGGAAGAACTAGCAACGATGGTGGAAAAAGCCGCAACAGAAGGAAATATGAAACAGCTTTACGATACAACGAAGAAAGTAGCGGGCAAATATAGTAATATAGAGAGACCAGTCAAAGACAAAAAACGCAGGCCAACCACTGATATTCAAGAACAGAGGAACTCTTGAATAGACCAGCTCCACTGAAACCACCGGACATCGAACCAGCACACAGACCTTCCTATAGATGTCACTCTACCAACGACCGGAGAAATCAGGATGGCCATCAGACAAATCAAGAACGGGAAAGCAGCAGGACCTGACAATATACCAGCTGAAGCACTGAAGTCAGACATCGAAGCAACTAAAAACATGCTTCGCCTTATATTCAAGAAGATTTGGCAGGAGAAACAAGTGCCGACGGACTGGAAAGAAGAACACCTCATTAAGATTCCAAAGAAAGGAGATCTGAGCAAATGTGAAAACTACAGAGGTATCGCATTACTGTCAGTACCAAGAAGTCTTTAACAGAGTGTTGCTGAACCGGATGAAAGATGCAGTAGACGCCCAACTTCGAGATCAACAGGCTAGATTCCGTAAGGATCGGTCGTGCACAGACCAAATTGCCACACTACGGATCATCGTCGAACAATCAGTTGAGTGGAACTCGTCACTGTACATCAACTTTATTGATTATGAAAAGGCGCTTGACAGTGTACATAGGAGAACATTATGGAAAATTCTTCGACACTATGGAGTGAGTACCTGAGAAGATTGTCAACATCATCCGGGACTCATACGACGGACTACAGTGCAAAGTAGTGCATGGAGGACAGCTGACAGATGCATTGTAAGTAAGGACCGGAGTCAGACAAGGCTGTCTACTCTTATCCTTCCTTTCTTCTGGTGGTCGACTGGATTATGAAGACCTCGACATCTGAGGGAAAACACGGAATACAATGGACAGATCAGAACCAATTAGACGATTTGGACTTCCACAGATTACCTAGCCCTCCTACCCCATACACACGACAACCAGTGTAGCAGCAGTCTCTGTATCAGTAGGCCTCAACATACACAAGGGAGAAAGCAACATCCTCAACTATAACACGGAGAATACCAACCCAGTCACAATTGATGGCGAAACTATGAAAGATGTAGAATCCTTCATATACCTGGGAAGCATCATCGATGAACAAGGAGGATCAGATGCAGACGTAAAGGCGAGGATTGGCAAAGCAAGGGTCGCATTCCTACAATTGAAGAACATATGGAACTCAAAACGACTGTCAACCAATATCATAGTCAGAATCTTCAATACGAACGTCAAGACAGTTCTACTGTACGGAGCTGAAACTTGGAGAACTACAACAACTACCATCAAGAAGGTACAAGTATTCATAAACAATTGTCTACGTAAGACAGTGTCCGCTGGCCTGGTGCCATTAGCAACAGCCTTTTATGGGAGAGAACAAATCAGCTTCCAGCTGAAGAGGAAATTAGGAAAAGACGATGGAAATGGATAGGACATACGTTACGCAAATCATCAAACTGCATCACGAGACAAGCCCTAACTTGGAATCCTGAAGGGAAGCGGAAAAGAGGAAGGCCAAAGAACATACTGTGTCGAGAATTGGAAGCAAACATGCAAAGGATGAATAACGACTGGAAGGAGCTGGAAAGGATCGCTCAGGACAGGGTTGGATGGCGAGTGCTGGTGGGCGACATGTGCTCCTCCACGAGGAGTAACGAGCGTATGTATAAGAATACGAAACAAAACATTAATAAGCGTTCGACTAACATGTTGCTCGTTTTGATTATCACACATCTATGGGTTGTAACTGGAAGTGACTAACTAGCAGAGTGTCTTGGCAACTAATCAATCAGTAACAACGTAGAACTTCGCATGTACGTACATCAGTTCGAGTTGCCACACCACATTAGCATAGAGATGCAGTAATCGATTCAAATCCCGTAGTTTTAGAGGTAATAAGAGTATAAGCAGTAATCGGGAAGATTAGTGTTTGAAGATGTTACTTAAAGAGTATAATACAGTGAAATAAATTTGGGATGAGAAAAAAGAGACAAGGAGGAATAAGGAGATCAAAATTTGGGTGAACACAAAGAGTGTATGCACCTGTGCCATTGCAAACGATTTTGAGCCATGTCATCCAGGGTCTCTAACCAACGGTTGCTATCATCTCGCGGTCCCCAACCAGGTAGTCTACACCTACCGACATGACTCAGACCACTTGTCATTGACTTCATGGACTTGTGCCATGTTTTGGTCTGGCCGCTCCTAGCTTTCTTCCAACCTACTCCTATACCACTGAACATAGCACGTCGAGGCAGTCGGTAGTTGGGCATACGTAACACGTGTCCCAGCCATCTCAACTGATGAGGTTTCACTACGTCATCAATTGATTTGCCATCCTTACCTAGTACCCGTTTCCTAACAACTGCATTACTTACTCGATAGTCCCAGGATATACGAGCAATATTTCGAAGACACCTATGATCAAATACTAGTAACCTACGAATATCCTCTACTCTTACCGGCCATGTTTCACTGCCATAAAGTAGGACGGAACGAACTGCTGCACAGTAAACCCATCCTTTGGTTGATAGACGGATATCTCGCCTACGCCATAAATGACGCAAGTTGGTAAAAGCTAGTCGAGCCTTCTGTATCCGTGCTGAGATTTCGTCACACACCAGACCACAAGGGCTGATGAGACTTCCAAGATAAGTGAAGCGATCGACACGCTCAATTACTTCACTCCCTATCATTAGTTCGGGTGTCAATGCAACCCAATCCTGAAGATACATTTTGCATTTCGAGGGGGAAAATCGCATCCCAAACATGCTTGCATTGTTGCTTAGAGTGGTCAGAAGACTGCATTTTGTCAGTCTTCGCCAAATAAAACTATGTCATCAGCATATTCTAAGTCAACAAGTGAACCTCCCGGTAGAAGTTTAACCCCTGGAAATCTAGACGAGGAAAGTGTTATCTCTAAAAGCACGTCAACGACAAAGTTGAACAAGAATGGAGAGAGTGGACAGCCCTGACGAACGCCACTTGTGGTAATCAATTCTGATGACAGTTCGCCATAAGCTCTCACTCTACCAGTTGTGTTCGAGTAGAGAGCCTGTATAAGGTTAATGTACTTCTTTGGTACTCCTTTCAGTGACAAACACTGCCATAGAACCTTACGATCAACAGAGCCAAATGCCGCCTTAAGGTCGAGAAATACTACCATTGTGGGGCGTCTGAACGTGTGTGTGTTCTAGAACCTGACGTAGTGTGAATATCTGATCTATACAACCACGTCCAGGTCGAAAACCAGCCTGATTTTCCCTAGTCTGCTCTTCACGAGCTTTGGTTAGGCGTCGAAGTATTATTGAAGCTAATATTTTAGACACTATATTAATCAAACTGATTCCTCTGTGATTGTCACAAGAGGACTTTTGTCCTTTCTTGTACGCACTTATCAACCAGCCACATGATATTCTCTTAGTACTACTAATTGATCAGCGATTGGTTATTTGAACACGAGGTTCGATGGCTTACAAATACATAATCGGAGTTACATAGATCCAATCAGTGGAAAATCATTTTACATGATATTCAGTCAACTGATGACGTAATTATGACTGTGCACGCTATGAAAAACTTTTACTGATGTTTGAAATAATAGTTCACCAGTGTTTATGTATGAGTCATATTACACAGGGCGTTACTCGACGAATATACTTCGACACTAGGCGATTCACGGACGAAATATGCACGAACCAGAAAGCTAGAAACAACAGAAATATTTTGACTCACTTTCATAATTTCCATGCCTTGATGTTATTTCACGCCTCCTTGACGATAGAAACCAAACCAAGAGTTCCCATGTGAGCGAAGACACATTATTGAAAATGAAAACAAATGTTAATGCAAAATACGTGAAAACAGGGAATTAAATACCCACAAACATCCTTTACCTGTATTATTCCTAAAAAGAAATGGATTAAATCATATGCCACCAAACATTAACTTCACTTCAGGAAATGAAGACTAACAAAACCTCAACACAAGCAAACTTAAGCCAAATTTCACTTACAAAATGGACATATTTGATGTACACAAGAACCTCTGAAGATTTTTAGTTCTTCACGTGCCTACTATCATAACTATGTTAGTAACCGGACATTCAAAAATATGAAATCTAATGTTAATTGTTCATGGAAGCCACATGTGGCCATGGTACAAGCAAGTTGCTAGCATCAAAAATGAAAAAAATTCAACAGTTCACGTAAAGCATGATAAAACAATGTGGTTAACTAGATGTGAAACAGTCCATATATAAATAATAAATAAATTAGCACAAATTTTTGATTCTTGTGTCCACTGTTCAATAACACCTAACCTCGGGGAATGTGACTTCCGTCGAATTGTTTCAAATCGTGAAGACTCTTCTTCTACATAACCGTCAGTTCTCCGATGCCTTGGATTACGTTCACGAGCATAACTGTAAGCTGTGCTGTCGCTAGCAGAACGCGAACGACTTCTTTCGGCATGAGATTTTACAGGCACACTGTTTGCCACAGGATTGAGTGGTATTCCTGGTCGACTTATCACATTAGGATTGGATAGGCTACGAGCTTGTTGTATTGCTTGTGAAAGAACAGCACCTGCGGCGGCATTTGCCGCTGATCCAGATATACGAAGTTGCTGTTGTTGTAAAAACGGAAGCAGGGTTGCGTTAGAGGAACTAGATACATTCAAACGTGAGAAAGAACCGCCTGAATTTGGGAAGGCTGAGAATATGTTAGGGAAATTAGGTGGTTGTATGGGCAGTCTGGAGTTCATTGTGGGATTGAGAGTGTTCGCTCCACTTCGGGCAAAAGCACCTATTGACTGTGGTCCAGATGATTTGATTGCAGCCATAGCTGCAGCTGCTGCCATTGCAGCGGCAGCTGCGTTTACTTGCAATAGTGGTGTAGTTCCCGTTGAGGTTAGCCGCGAACCATCGTTGTTGATCAAGGGTGTTATAGAAGGGTAATTCATCAAGCTCCTTCGTTCAGTAGATGCCATATATCGTTGGTTTGTCCCAGTAGCATCCCCCAACAGTCCAGTGTTATCTTGATTGCTCAACCCAACAACACGAGAACCATTATGACTCGTTTGACCATGGCGACCAACGATTTTTCCAAGTCTCTCAAATGCGTTTCTACGACTGATTCTTTCGCCAATAGCTTGAACTGTGTTCGGCTGTTTCTGTTCTTCCCCAAGTTCATCTTTACCGAAACACCGGCATAGTGCCTCGCCACATGTAGGTTCGATTTCCTGAAATGCAATGAGTTGATATTCAATATACTCACCTGACCATCTCTCCCGATTTTCACAGGTTTGTCTTCATTCCATGCATTCAAGAGATGCCCAGTCTTTGTGAAAGGGAGGTCAGACCTAGCAATCAAAACAACTGAAATGAACAACAAACTTGGATATCCATTTAATTCGAAAAGGATTACTCAGGAGACCAGTATTCATACGTGAAGATAACACCCAGTCAACCTTGATCCGAGGGTCTGACGAGGCGATAATGCGCGCAAATCCTTGAAATCTACCACTCTCACGCACAGAAAATATGAGCAAAACATTGTTGTAGTCAAAAAATGCTTTATTCAGTCTTGTCTCATTGCCCTTTGTCGTAGCCCATACATTCCGAGACTTCGCTATTTCGATATTCTCAAAATTATTGCTCTTGATAAGAAAATACTTTGTAGAACGGAAAAGACGCGAATCAATGTGGTTTCCTCTTTCACTTGTGCAGGTATGCCCTCTGACACCAGAAAACCGGACTGAGTTTTGGGCTTCTTCCTCTTTAGAAAACTCATCACCTGGGACGTCGGCATGAAGTTCGTCTCTGTTCTCGCTTTCTTCATCAGAAACTCTGTCCCATTCAATCGGTGAAATTGCTTTTCTGTCGGTTATTTCATTGGTAGCAGAAGTGACATCCTCAAAAGGATCGACATCCTCTGATGTAACGGTAGAGATTTTGACGAAACTTTTTTTTTTCGTGTTGATAGAAAAGTCACCACTCCCCTCTTCCGAATCGTTAAAGCCTTCAACTGCAGTGTGGAACTCACTAAAGCTACCGGTTTCGTTAGAATGGGTTTCATATGACAAGTCGTGATTTTCGTCTGATCTACCTAACAGTTCGTCTTCCTCCTGGATCCTCGATTTTTCGTCCCAATCGCGCTGTCCAGTTTCATCTATTGCACTGCCTTTACCAACATCATTTTTGTCTATGTTAGACGTAAGTAATGACACAAAACTACTAACATACCCAAGATACCCTCTTTTGTTTCAGGAACATCCGATGATCGACCACATAACATTTCCCGCTGAAAGATAAACCCTCGTTCAATATCCAAACCACTACCAGGAATTCAACACATAAAAACGCTGCTTATTCCAAAAATAAATCCAGTGGATTCTTTCAAGTGATATATTCTGAAATGAGTGTAACTTATGTTTATGATTTCATGTGGCAATTTTAATATCTGTAAGAGGTATATATTCTTCCTTAAATATATATTTAAATCGGAAGACACAGGATACATAACCAGGTTTATGCACTTTATTCCAGCCTTCTAACACTATCTAGACATTCGACAATTTTTTCACAGCTTTTTGAATTCCATTGCTCACATGTGACACTCATCTCTTCCATTCTCTTCTTATTTGTAGGGTTAGATAAATCCCCAAAATTAATAGTCCTGTAAGTCTTCAACATTTGATACCGACCTCATTGATTTCACTGAACTCCCCTGGATTATTGTGTTTGGTCTTGCATTCGCACCAGATCACGAGTACTGTGCTACACACCTCAAAATCAATAGCTCTGTTAGTCTTCAACATTGGATGGTGACCACACTGGTTTTAATAAACTCACCTAGCTGAAGGCGCTCGGTCATGCATCCGCACCAGATCACGACTGGGAACGCCGTGCTCAACATCCCCTACATTCGATAGCCAGATAAGATCTTTCGATCCTCTTTATATTGGTAGTTTATCAAATATATCTTCGAACCTCCTCTTTTCTGTCTTTTGATTTCACTTGGTAGGTACGACTCATATTAGGAGGTGCTACTGTTTAAAGCGTTGTCAAACTCCAAATGCCCATGGCATCTTCAACATCTTCGAACCTCTTCACTTCCAAATTCTGATTTGACTTGGTTGACATACTTCGATTATAAAGGTGTTGCTTATAAATGCGTTGTTAAACTCTGAACACCCGCGGCATCCTTATAATTGGCTAAACTCACCCGGTATGATCTAGTACTGCAACTGAGTGGATGAAGTGACATTGTTCTGTTTCACAATGATCGATTAATTATTCAAGATTTATAGAAAATATAGCATTCGGAAAATTATGCATCAGCATAACATGATTGTTTAGTATCGAGCATGATTAGTGGTGAACAAAACAAAATCCGTGAGCTGGCCCCAAGAGCTATCCTTGAGAACTAAAATTATATAGATCTTGTGATGGGCCACATCTGGCTAAGCCAACTGTTCATTAATTATTTAAATTACATTCACACTAAATTATTGACTAAGTCAACTGCTGCCCACTGAATGCATGCACATCTTACTATTGACTAGGCATTTAATATATATATATATATATATACACCTTATTTTCGATTCTGAGATCATTTTAAACCAGCGGTCAGGGATCAAATAAATTGTCAAATACTGTTTTGTTCTCATACCGGCATAGGAGCAGCCTTCAACTCTTTGGACAGTAATATTCTCTGGGATTGCCTGTTGAAGAAGCATGTGATTTGGACTTCTTTAATCACCCTTTTGGCCTTATGTGAGAACAGCTAAGGCAGAATGAATGCGTACAATGCATACAGAACTGAAATGTTCGTGTTGGGTAGGTTGATCGAACCGATATTCCAATGGAAGTCGATTCTAGGAGAAAGCTAATGTGACAACCAATAGAAGAAACCAGACTTGTATTGAAAAGGTTTTTAATTCGAACTCTAGTAAGGTGTAGTGGAAAGCAGGGTTACCTTTTCAAACACACAGCGCCTCTTGACACTCATTAAGTAGCAACAGGAAATGTAATCCCTATACAAAATAAGGAAGTGAATGAACACTTGAGCTCTATTGTCTTGACAATTAACTCATTCAGTGTTTGACTTCCAATTAATGACGACCAACTCCTTCGGTATTCGACGACACTCCATGGATGTCTTTTTCCTTTCTAGCTTGTTATCTCACCTCGTAGAATTTAATTTCTTCCACAACTATCGCGTATTATTTGCTGCATGCCCTCTATATGGTAACAAGATCTCGGAAGAGAAAAGGGGGGTAAGAAAATGAAACAAGAACAAATGAGGAAGTGCCGCGAGCGGGCTACCTAACATTATGTTGGAGTGGTATGATTTTCCATGCTCTGTCCGGCTATCAGGCATTTACTCACCTGCATATTGAGTCACTCTCATTTAAAAATATGGAAGAATCTGCCTCAAAAAATGATGGAAGACAGTCAAACCTGAAGAGCTACCTCACTGCCTATATAGATGTTAGTGTATTCGGAAAAATATACTAATAATTATCATGTTAAGTCTAATGGTGTCCTTGGACTCTAAATGTACACTCCCTATCAGTCAGTATTTATTTCACATATTAAATATTGTACAAATGTTTTCTATTTTGTGGTACGATGTGGTTTGTCTGATTGGTATATAAACAGAGTATGTCTGAAATGTAATGATCCATATCTCAGAGGCTGATACTTGCGTTCTGGACTCAAGTGGCTGGGCTAGACAAGGAAGCAGGGCCAATCGAAACTCCAGGCCGTTCTTGCGTGTCTTACGTGTCATTATTTCGATCGATAAGTCGCTGCTCCATAATCAGCATTTACCCCCACAACAATAGAATAATACGGTTCAAAATGGAAATTAAATGTTAAAAAGACGAAGTTCAGTGAAGGGACCTTTTCCTTACGAATTTATAACCAAGCTGTCAGTCGTATTACACTTGTTAATTTAAATCAAAGCCATCAGCACCTAAGAGTGTAGCTAGTGAGGTTATGCAAGAAAACAAGCTGGAGACTTTTATTCGTTATGTTGTTGTTAAATAAATATAATCTATAAAAGTGAATATCAGTTCGTTCCTTCAGATATATTGAGTAATCTTCAAAGTATTTTCCAAAGTGACATCGCTTTCACGTTACACACCAGATCCAATCTGAGCATAATTGTGTTAGAATATTGGTCGGGCTATGTATTCATGCAATGCAACATTTAAGTTTATGGTTGTTATAAATAGACTTGTAGAGCGCTTGGTGTGAACTATGACGTTGAGAAAACGCGTATGTCGAGTTCGTTCCAGATGTCAGACGTTTCTTAGCTGTGCCGTCAAAGAAAGATTCTGAAAAAACAGAGAAACCGACGATCAGCAAGGTACTTGGATATGAACGGTGAACAATACTTAACATTACGTAGTGGAACAGACAGGATGTCTCCCTAAAGTCATGAAAATTCGTAGTTTTCCACAAACTTTGAGGAAATATTGACAAAAACATAAAAATTTTTGGGATTTCCCGAAAATGACTTGAAATTATAAATAAAAAGCCCCACTTCAGGGTAATTTTGGTTTTTTGATTGCATCTCCCCAAGCTTTTTCAATGCAGCTTCCTCAAAACTGATAAAGTTTTCCCTGAAAGCGGGAGATCAGAGACTGCTGCATCGAGCAGTTCAAAATCTGGCATATTACTAGGATAGATATTAAATGTGATAAGTCTGTAACCTATTCCCAGAGTAAGACGGATTATATTCACATGGAGTTACGAAAGGCAACTCTGTTCAGAAACACACACATATAAACGGTGTATTTCATACTGTATGTCGAGATCTCAGTTAAATATATTCATAACATACATGACCATGTGCATATAATTACAGACCCGTCTTGACTATCTGACAGAACCCTAATCTATTATTTCCAAAACATTCATAAGCCTATATGATGATAATTTTTATTTTAGATTGTGCATACTACAACTTACGTTTTGTTTGGATGCCATAACCCTAATACTTTCTGGATTAATTGGTTCAATTCAGACCCCTATCTTAACACTTAGAAATGTATAACCATATATGATTTGGTACTTACGCTCTAGACTTTGTACACTGTCCTATATAATATCCTTTAAATTGTATTTGTATGCTATAACTCACCTTCTGAGATTACCTGTTCACTTCGGTGTGTTATAGTTTTTGGTCACTACTTTGGTTGTATGGTATCATATTAATTCTAGACGGTGTTAATCCTCTTTAAAACTACATATCGCTGCACTTTCTAATTCTGACTGAGGCTAGTTTTCAGTCAATATATGTACCACATACACAACCCATTTTGAACATTTAATACTGAGTATCTGTAGTGCTAGATTACTTTTTTGTATAAAACATATCTTTCCATGTGATCTTTAGGTTAAATGTATCCAAAGTACACAGTTTTGTTCTGTTTTACATCTAAACATGTACTTACGTATTGCACCTCTACTACGATCTTCCTGCCATTTCTTCCTTTTGCATTTGTCATCTTCATTAATGCTTGCAAAACCCTCACACTTGTTTCAAACACAGGTCTTGATTTTCGAACTAACTTGAGCACTCCACTTTGATTGTTTCATCTCTCTTCTATTTCAAAACTTTCTTCAATCCATTTGCTACTAATTATTTTCTAATCATGCCTCGTAAAAATTTGAATGTCTCTTCCTCCAGGCGTCCAGACGAACGTGGGATAGACGACGTACAGTTCGCTAAGAGGATAATACTTGACTCCATAAAAGTATCTATAGTAACAGTATTAAGAACTGTAATCTCAATCACTTTTTAAAACAATGAGTGTGTAGCATTATGGTCTACTCCGTTGTTTGTATTACTAAAATAATAGACTTAATCCTTAGGTTGTAGATATGTCATGATATGACTGCCTAATATATAAGATCTTACGTGGAAGTCACATCATTGTCTACATTGACTCATCGTATCATAACGATTAACATATCGGAAGTTTCTAAACACATTTAGGCTAAAGATAGAATAATATATTTAATGTGAGTAAAAAGAAGTTATATAGAGTGACCACGCCTGCAAGGCTGAGAGATGCCACCTGATGTAGTTGAATTCATTCTTCCCACCTTCTCCGTTGTTGGTATTTTCTCTGCCTTAAATGCTGAATATCTGTTTTCCCAGTTATCTCGTGTTCAGTGTTGATGACTTTGTGTTTAGGGCCCAATGCCACCACAAGTATTTCTAGTTCTGGACACGTGCTTCAATTCAGAGATAAAAAATGCACAATTCAGGTCAGTCCATACAAAGAAATC